TGGTGATGACAATGTGATGGTAGTGATGGAGATGATGAAGATAGTGGTGGTGATGACAATGTTGATAAAGATGGTGATGATGATGGTTGTGATGACTATGTTAAAGATGATGATGTTGGCGATGATGATTGAGATGGTGGTGGTGATGATGATGATTATGCTGCTGCTGCTGATGATGATGATGTAAATGATGGTGATGATGGAGTTGAGGATGATGGTGATGAAGATGGTGGTCATGATGGTAATGATGATAGCTTTGATAATGCTGATTGATGATGATGATTATTACAACTATGCAATACACATACAATACCTTTCCTGGCATTATCTTCGACGCCAATTAAATCTTCTCGATCAGCAACCTCCTCATACTAAACAAAGAAAACAATAATAAACATAAAATCTACTGAAAACTACCCACAAGAACTCTTCACTTACCTGTAACTTCATTAACTTTGAAATATAACTTTTGAAGTAAGAAAAGTAGATCTTGCTCATAGTGTCAATATATTCATCCTTGATTTCCCTGGCGACTTGTCTGTGATGTGCCAACAGAAACTCATTGAAGTATCTGTGTTTCAGGAGTGCATTCTGTGGTACTTGGTAATTGGTATTTGGTCGACGAAAGGAGTAAATCTTTTGAAGGATAAACTCCCTGATTTTCTGCACGGCCTGTTAAAAATGAAAGTAAATAAAGACATGTCAGAGTGAATTCATAGATGCTCATATACATATTTTATCCTATTATCTTCATATTTTTTCGTTACCCAGAAACGAAGTCAAAGTTAGGAATGACTAACTCACAGATCTAAGCCTGAAACAACCTCTGGGCTGATCTAAGTCAGGGTATAGCTAACTCACAGGTCAAACCCTGAAACAACCTCTGGGCTGATCTAAGTCAGGGCATGGCTAACTCACAGAATAGAACCCTGAAACAACCTCTGGACTGATCCAAGTCAGGGTACTGCTAACTCACAGAATAGAACCCTGAAACAACCTCTGGGCTGATCTTAAGGCACAGCAACTCACAGATCGATTTGAATTTATTTCGTTAGGTTTTGAAGATAGAGGAAAACTAAAGCAAAACCCTCAAATCAAGTACAAGACCTAACAGACTTTATTAACATGTGATCCAAGTCTACAGTAGGTGAGAGGTAAGTACACTTATACTATACCACCCATGAACCCAAGTTATTACCCTGACTTTAAGTTTCTCCAATCCTTCTCCAACATCATTACAAGACAAGGAGTTCTTGAAGGACTGTTCTTTGACAAAATCAATCTTGTGGTGAAGTTCATGTAATTGTTCTATGAAGCTTTGGTCAGTTACTGCTGTTTCACATATGTGTCTGGTGAGAAAACAACAGGGGAGAGTTACAAGGTAACTATGATACTATGTTAAGGTTAAAAAGATATAACTAGCTAAAAACTAGTGTGAGGTTAAGGTTAATTCTGTTGCTATTGAAGCTGCTTCTAATACTATGGTGGTTTGTGTGTCTGGTGAGAAAACTACAGGGGAAAGTTATAAGGTAACTATGATACTATGTTAAAGTTAATTCTGTTGTTATTGAAGCTGCTTCTACTGATGGTGTTTTAACTATCCCTGATGATAATGTTATTGCTGCATCAATAACTGTGTCTGTTATAGCTTCAGCTGCTACTGATGATGATGATGATGCCAATTCTGTTAATTCTGTTGCTGGTACTACTGATAGTGATTATGTGATGCCTATGATGTTCATCTGATTTGTCAACAAATACGCAATAATTCACCTGATCATAGAGTCTGTCACCATCATTTCATCAATAAACTGACTCAATTCTCCTCTGATTGCCTACGAAAAAACATGATTTATATCAATCAGTTCTAAAATGAATGTCTTTAAATTAACTTCATTTTCTATATACACAATTATGTAAAAAATCTATGTGGAATCATTTTCAAATGAAAGATATGAAACGTGTGGAAAATATATGCACATAAATCTATATTAGATATTAAATATTAGATAATTCTATTTTACAATCATTTGTCAAGACTATATTTCCAACCTGTCTGTTTTTGAGCTTGATATTCATTGACAGAGATTGTTCCTGCAGAGTCTGAATCTCTGAACTAATGCTACCGAGATCACCCTGGAAAACAAGTTAAATAATCATTGGAACTGTTAATCAAAGAAAAGATACTCAAGGGAATGCCATGTGGTCTGAAATTGCAAAATATTACAAGGTCTATTATAGGGGTAGTTTTACAATGTAGGATCTATGATATTTTCTTGCACTCATTAAGCTTGCTGTGGCTTGAATGTGGGATTTTGTATAACAAATAATGGTTCAAGGTCTATGTGACATATCTCTGCTTATTTCTTTGGTGGGTTACCTGTGGTAGGTTGATTAAACTGATATTGGAAGACTAAGTACAAATTTGTACTCCCACACTCACTCTTCCTTTACCACAGGGATCCCAAGCACAAAAGGAAGAAAAACAAGAGAGAACCTCCACCAAGGAAGGCTAATGAGATATCAAGACTTGTTACCTGAAAACTTGTCAGCATTTTTTCCATTCTCTGATACAAAAGATAATAGAAAGTTAAATTCATTTAACATGTTATGCATAAGTCTGACAGCCATGATTACAGAAACTCACCTCTAGTATGGTATCACACGAAGCAATTTGATTGTGAAGACTAGCAATATTCTTACTTTCTTGGATGTCTAAGCTGTTCATTAAGATTATTTTTGATCACATCTTTTAGCTCAAATTAGACTAGTCTTCATATGAATGGGAAATGATACAGAAAATTTGAAGTTACACTGCAACTATGACATATTTTAATTGCATTAAATAAGCCAAAAATATGGGAAGTCATTGCAATGTTACATCATATTACAACATGTACCAAGTCATTACTATACCTTTCCCACTCATTAACAACAAATTATGGAATTTAAAATGAGTAATAGAGTAACTCTCGAGGGGCTGAGAGAAACATGGAAGTACATAAAATAACTAATTTCAAGGATACAGTCAGAAATTGATGCATTCTCTACATCATGGAGATCTGACTCAATTTGCTTGGAATACTGCCGAAGATCTACACCCTAAGCAATACAAAACAATTCAGGTTAGAACAACACACTCTCCTTTATAAAACAGAGCAAGAACAGCACCGGACATCACAAACACAAACAAAAATCATAATTGGTATTTACAGCTTTCAGAGCTTCCTTGACTAATTCATCCTCCAAGTTTTCTTGTATGTGAACTGCAAATATGAAATAAAAGACACAACAAAAATAAATAGGGATTTAAACATTTTATTAAAAACTTGAGTTTTCTATGAATAACACACTAAATAAACGATGAAAGTTTATTTTAGATCAATAAATCAGAAGATTATTGCCTTACCATCGACTTCGTCCAAGATATATTCATCTTGTGATGTCAAGTCTAGTTCACCAAGGTTAATATCAACGTTCAAATCCTTCAGAAAAAAATCAGAATTAAAAGAAAGACCGCAAAAAAAAAACAACCAAAATATGTCTATTGATACCTCTTCTGTTTCATCGGAGCCATTTTGAGCCACTTCCCCTTCGGGTTGTTGTAATATTGGAGGATTTATTGACGTGTCTTCACTCAAAACATCCGCCATCTTAGATTATAAACTCGAGCTCGTAACCGCTGGGTAACAAGGCTCACATACTCGACAAATTTTTCCCACCCCTCCCCCAGCAAGTATTTTTGGAGGCTGAAATTTTTCCTGTTTTGCAATATCCTGTCGTATTACGTATTTTCTCAGGAATCAGTTGTTAATGCTTTTGCAATATCCATACAAGAATACCTGCTCTTTGTGGGAGAAAAAATAAAACCTCAAAAAATTCGAGCTTATCATGACTTCGCGGGAAAAGTTAAAGTAACGCGCGAAATTTAAATGTCAATAAAAGCCATTTATCAAACTCTTAATTAATACATCGAATCAACAATTTGTTTAAAAATTCGTGATTTCTCAGCTAAAGGTTCACTCAGATGTGCTAAATCCTCTTTAGGTCTCGCTGGAGGCAAGCTGTAGCCTCGATAATTCACGTTTTGTTGTCTATAAAAATCGCCAGCTTACCATAGAATTTTACATTGTTTTGAATGTATACACCAATCAACTGTGTGAAAAGCATTAAGATATACGGAAATGAAGATCGAAACTCCTTTAACACTTAATTCATTTCGATATAAGTCAATATAATCGATATCTATTGGCTTCATAACCGGGTAAATGTCGTAATCATTAAGTAATGTTCCGAAGTGAAAGAGGCTATCATTCTGTACACTAGACTAATAAAACGCGTCTCAGCTCATTTTGGACGCCCCTCCCTCTAAACGTTCACATAAATCTTCTCGTGTTTCCGTTTGTGTTACAATATCAAGTGAAGCTAAAGAAGAGCTCCTCGTTTGGATTTCTAGCAATCTTATTTTTTGAGAAAAATCATCAAGAGATGGGAAACATCATTCCAATAGACTCGCACAGGAAAGAGCGAATTGAAGGTCAGTAGTCGTATTCCTGCAATGTTTGAAAGCGGCCCGTGACTGTTGACAACCCCTTGGTGTCGATTGTTCCTGTAGGAGAATGTATAGAAAATATTATAGCGAAACCTCTACTTATTTGTTCTTAATAATATTTCAATGAAAATTTGGTCCCATTGTGAAAAGAAACTTATACATAACAATGCAAACTTTTTGTACGATTTCCAGCGTCTTCTTTTCTACTCCTTTATCAGTATTTTCCTACTAGTAATGAAGTGATCGTATATCTATAAATACTACTCCGTATTTTTCCAAACAAAATAAACACCCTAGTCTTACCTCAAATTTATAAATTTTTGCCGTAAATTGAAAGACTTTTGGAAGCATTCATGAAGAATATGTAAAATTTCATAAACTATTTCTTCTGGATGGTGTTAATCTACAACCGGAAATGAATGCGAAGGAGATAATTTGAGTGCCAACGATTGCACGCTATCTACTCGAGTTACGAAACCTACTTTTATATTCTTATTTCGAAATACTACTCTTAACTCGTAAAATAACAATGGAAAGTAATTGATCAGTCGAATTAGAAACATTACTGGGAAATCTAGCAGCGTTTTTGAAGAATTTTTCGTTTCTTTTCTTATTTAGATTTAGCCAAGGATTTCTTGGGGACTTTTTCCCAGGAGTTTATTCAGGCTTATGGGATTGAATTTGCAAAAGCAAAACTGGCGGATATTGATAAAGAATCGTTTAAGGAAGATGGACCCAAGAGGGAGCTTACGTATAGAAAGGTTTGTATAGTCTTGCTGTGAAAAGAAATATCAGGGATATTATTGGTAATGAAATTTTGGTGGGGGAGGGGTGGGAGGAGAGAGGAGTGAAATTATTAGGAATAGAAAAATTGGTATAAAAAATAGAAATGTAAAATAATTTGGGAATGAAAGAAATTAGATAAAGTAAAGTAGATATTAGTTGAATTTTATGTAGATAAAAAAGAGGAAAATAAAATTCAGAAGATAAATAAAAGAAAGGAAGTAGCAATAGCAAAAATAATGTGAGTTTGTTATTTGAAGTGCTGAGGGGAGGGGGGAGGGATAGGAAAGATACTGGTACTCTGGAACCAATTCCCCCACCCCTTCCCCCACATATATCTTTGTATTTAAAGATACTTGTTATATACAGGATAAGGTTGAAGAGGATGAGCCAATAAAAAAGGGATATCTGATCAAACAAGGTGCCTTAGTTAAAAACTGGAAGAAAAGATACTTTGTAGTCAAACAAGATTACTGTATAGAATACTATGAGAACCAGGAGGTAAGAACACTTCACTTTCTCAGGCAACTTGTGTCCTTAAAACAAAATTTCAATATCCAGTGAGCTTTAATTCGTAATTTCCCCCCCCAGGCATTTGAAAAGGGTTTTAAGGCTAAAGGAGTGATATGCCCAGCAGGATATGAAGTGGAAGAGGATGCTGATAGTGCTATTATTGAGCGTTTGAAGAAAGTTGCTAAACAGCTTGGTATGTAATCTTAATAAAGGGGTGGATCTAGGGGAGGGGTGCAGGGTGAGCGCACCCTCCCCCCCTTCATAGATGAGTTGATATCTACTGCATTATAATTGGTGTTTGAGTTTTCAAGCAAATGATGTACTCCCTCCTAAAACGAAAATCCTGAGTGGTACACTGCCCTTTAAAAAAAATCCTGGATCTGCACCTGTAATAAATGGACAACAGTATAACTATATAACTATATCAATGTTTCTTGGCGTAAAATGTCAACAGGTATTGATGAGAAGGAAATACCAATGCCGGAGAAATACCCTGAGCACACCTTCGAACTAGGACACCAATCCCGACGGCCATTCTACATTACTGCTGAAAATGAGGAAGAGAAAAAGAAATGGCTGGAAGTAATGAAGACATGTTGCAGAAAATTCAAAGGTCCATTTTGTGCTTAAATTAATGATGAAATAACAGTTGTTTTGACATGCCAAATATGTGTGTACAGGAGTTTTGTAAATATATTGATCGTTTCAAATTATTCGATCCACAATCCAATTGGCAAGAGTCCAATCCAAGTGGTCATTCCAGGATATGATTCCGGATTTTCCAAACCAAAAAATTCTTAAAATCACATTTTTGAAATTGGGATACTTTTGGCTTAGTAATGAAGTTTTTTCCGATAGTTTTTAAGGTGTTTTGGGGTATATTTATACCATTTTAAACTGAAATCCTTTGGGAATAATTTTCTCTCAACAGGATTCAAGAATCCTGACCTAATCAGTAGGGCTGCCTTTAAAAGTGCATACAGGCGAACATGTTATAGACACTTGTATAGACACTACTCAGAAGACTATGGAACAGAAGAACAGGTGCCTATCATGCATTAACAGCTGCTCAGCATTAATGCTAGTCCACTAGTCTTGGACTACTAAATCTTTTCTATTAGATAGTAAAAATTAGGCCTCCCTCTCTCAATCAGTTCCTCAAGGGTACCTAATGCTACGAGACCATTCATTATTCATGTTTAATGGAATGACAAAAAAGGGTGGAGCTGCCATATCAGAGAAAAGGGGGGCTAGTCAAGGTAGAAGGATGGTAACTTAAATATTTTCATGAGCACGTATAAATACATGAGGCCTAGGAGATTGGTCTAAGAATTTTTATTTTATAAAAACAAGGGGGACATAAAAGTCTTGGTTCTTTTTATCCCCCACCCCTCACCCCCTCCCAGGGAAATAACTAATGGTCCCTAAACTTGTATGGATTAGTTAAAAGTCAAAACAAGATAAGGAAGACCTGCCCCACCCCCCCCCCCCCCCCCCCCCCCATCCCTGGATCCCTGTACTCCTCTGCCAAATCATATCACTATCATATTCTGTTGCAACTAAGTTGTTTATTATTTGGTATACCTCATTCATGGTTTCAGGTCATGACTGCTTCAATCGTTAGTGAGATAAATAACAGAGTTATGGGAGATGTGTACCATGATCTATCTACTCTGCCTGGAGGGTACAAAGTCAGAAACAAAGTGAAAGAAAATGTATGTACAATCATTCTGAATTTTTTTTTCCTGCCTGAAGTCACTGTGTTAATTAAGTTAGCAGGATTTACGTCTTTAAGTCCAATTGTTCAAGTTTACTGCACAGTTAATAATTGAGAATCCATTATTTATGTAAAGGAAGCAGTTTATAAAGTTTATAAATCCCCCATGCCTCCCCCACCCCTCCCCCCATTTGCTCCTTTAAATGCCCTTGCCCTTTGACTCTCCATGATTATTCAGATTTTGCCATTAATTTTATTCTGAGAAGCCTTTTTTCTATTTCAGGTGACCAAAACTCTTGATTCTCTTGTGACGGCCATGGTTATACCTTCCTACAAAGGACAAGTTGAAGCAACACAAAAGATGGTTGGTCCATTGGATGATTTGATCAATAGCAAGAAGGATGAGATGGTGGAAACCCAGAAAAAACTCACCCAAAAACTATCAGGTACTATAATAGCATTAAGTGGGAACAATGGTTGTAATTACACTTGAGCCCACAAGGAGATATTCTTTTGCTTCAAGAATCATACAAGTGAGGCTATCGGGTCAATAAAATACTTGTTAACTCATTTGCATCTCATTTGCATGCATCTGACCATCCATAATAAGTGACACAGGCAGTTTTCATATCATTAATATTCATAAGGTGACATATATTCATGGGACTCAGACATAGCTTTTAAAAGGGTCTAGAAGTTGAATCATTATTATTCAGATTAATGTGACTGCTTTCTTTTGTTACTTGCAGAGGAGCTCGATGACAAATTGGGGGTGGCATTCGAAGATGTTAGAGATGCTGTAATAGCAATGGAAACAGAGTTGAGGGAAATTGTAAGTCGTTCAAATCAAGAATACGCCATGATGAATTTATCTGCGAATAAATAGCCTTGGGTTTTATTGTAAACCACGTGATATGCTACGTCTTTTTGTGAAGGCTTTCGCAACTGCACATGTCAGCGCGATACGATGATGACACATTCTGTGGTGCATAAAATGCCATACCACGAGATGACGAGAAACCTGTTGTGTGTGCGCATTGATGGTTACTTCGTCGTTACCTGAGGTACGCGGGTGTGCGTTCCTCGTGCGCAAAAACAAAACAGTGACGTCAAACTATGGTATACTAATTCTCTTATTTTCAGCCAATCAGAAAGTGACATGTCCGACAGCTCATGCAAAACCATTAATTGTTTTCTCTTTTCCAGGCAAAAAAGATGATTTCTCCGCTTCGCGAGTACCTCTTGGTACAAATCATTGACGAGATCATAAAGAAGGCTAAAACTAACGATGATATCGAGGCTTCTCTAAAAGAGGTTAATATATTACAACAGTCTCCTTTGCTCTTCCAATCCGGTTCAAACTGTCGATACAATATGTATACAGCTTCATTGAAACACTTTTTTTCACAATAGGCCCATTCAGCCTTGGCTATGTTTCCCATTTTAAACCACTTCTCATTCTCATATTTCGGATGTATCCATATTCATGTGACTTCTCATGCGTAGGCGTTAAACAAAGAAATTATACTCTAGGGAATGACAAGTGGTCTGAAATGGGGAAAATTACGCCCAAGGTACGTAAACAGTTCCATAAACTATGGTCTAGTTTTTCCTTCTAAGCATAAAGGTATTTTGTATTTCGTAGTATTTCAAGAAATTGTGCACCGAAAGGAGTTGGAGGAGTAAAGATTATTGGTACCATTACTACAACGCTGCTTGCCCGATGGTGAAGGTCATGGCAAAACACGAGGAGACTTTTGCTGGTTATTATAGACACTACACCACAGTTGAAATTGCGCTGGATACGATGGCAGAGGTGACATTCACTCACACAAAAGAGCATAGTTATGATTTGCAAAAGCTAGCTTACAGTTGTAGACGGTGCCGCGCAGTGATCGTGACGTAACGTGATCTCGCGCACTGTGATTGGTCCACGAACCACGTCAATGTAACGTGTACTTTGAAGTTTCACAGTCATACGAAATCGTCAAGATCACGGTACGGGAGCGTCACTATCACGTCACGATCACGGTAACGTCACGATCCCGGTAACGTCACGATCACGGTAACGTCACCATCACGGTAACATCACGATCACGATAACATCACCATCACTGTACCATCGCGGTCGTGGTAACATCGCGATCACGGTAACGTTAAGATCACGGTACGGTAAAGTCACGATCACTATGACATCACGATCACGGTACGGGAGCGTCACGATCACGGTTACATTAAATCACTGCGTTTGTATATTTGATATATATTTGGATATTGACTTATGCTGGAGTCTTCACTGAATAACCTTGTGAATTTTTCTTTATAATTTAGGTTTTAGATGCTGCTGGTTATACGTTTCAAGAACTTTTTAAGGAACTCAGTAAAGAAACCGATGCTCTAAAGAGCGGCGATACTGCCGCTGAAGTCATGGTTAATGTCAAGGATGAAGTTCTGACGGTGGGTGTGACTCTATATTGCTGGACTGGATCACTTTCTAAGACCGACCGACCGAACGGCTACGGACCGACTGACCGATCGACTTTGCACACGCCTAGCTGGCCTACCGATCTACAGACCATTGAACAAACGAATGATCGACACAACATGCAGACAAAAAAAATAGAACGGATTTTAACGAATGGAAAGAATTAATAGAAAGAATCCATTGATTTCAGAGATTCGACTCCGACGCGCAGAATTATGCAAGTGAAATCAGTTACCAGATCACTCATGAAGCCGCGGTACATTACCTGACCAAAACTATGGAGCCCGTGGCCAAAGATGTAAGTGTTACTTGCGTGACTCTACTCCTCTGTGTAGCTATTGTTAGGGTCGTCACGCAGTGAAGTCTTGGGTTGCGTGACGTTCTGCACAACAAGCAAGAGTGTAATGTGATTGTTTTTTCCCCGCAGTTATTATCGAGTTTGAAGACGATGATCCCAGATCCCATCAACAAGGTCGTAAGTGTTCAGGATCGTTATGAGATGTACGTCGATCAGGTTGCCAAACGACTGGTAAAAAAGGGTAAGATTTGTCACACAATCACGTACCACACCTTCCATTATAACTAATGATGGAACTGATAAACTGCTTTTTTCCGTTTGTCATCTTTTAAAGCTATTGGAATTGACGTTTCCGCTGCTACACCAGAAGAAAAACCCAAACCTGCAGCAAATGACGAAGCCGTGGAGGGATCTGGAAAACCTGCTCAAGAAGGAAAGAGTGATGAGCAGGAGAACGCCGCTGGGAATGTACCACCCAACGATCAACCTACAACTGATTTGTAAAAGTGTATGGTATTTTTACATTTAATTTCAGTGGGATCAAAAATATCTTTATGAGAAATTGCTTGTATGAAATTCTTAATTCATCGAGATGTACGTTTATATAAATGCAAGTCAGGCCTACATTACAGACATTAAGGCACAACGCAACTACGTTGATAAGAATACTCTGCATCTTATTTACCGGCGAAAATCTTTGTGCACAAACTACTTTGTCATGTTCGAGTAAAATTCAGTCATCGTCTTGTCTTGCGCTAAGGTTTTATCAGATAAAGACTTTAATTTAAAACTTCTTATAGTAGAAGCAAAACAGCAAAATATATTTTTTCTAAACATGCGCTTATTTTTTTATGTATTAAGAATTTAATGACGTATCACAAGCAGCGCGCGCAATTTTGTTTTCTTGTTTTACCGCGCCCAATATCGCTGACCGCCGCATAAGCTATAGGTAAAAGGTTTAAATTATTATTAGTGTTTTATTTCGTTTTATGTTCTTAGGATCACTGTTTTAATTTGTTTCATGGCAATTGGTTTTTATTTTACTTGTCTTTAATTTATTTCAAATAATTATAAATTGCAATATTAATATGATAAACTACTAATAAAGGTTTTGTAAATTCGAATGGAATGAGTCATCAGGTGTTTGAGATCTAGATCTCGATTTGCTTTACCATGTCTATCATCTTGACATCATTTTCATCTCACTGCGCAAGTTACTTTTCCATGTCTTCTTCAAACGCATCCCACATGGAAGGGAGTGCTCATGTGAAGTAACCCGTTATCGACACAATCGACATATCAGGTATGCTGGTCATAGCAAGGGGTTAATCATTTACGGTCTAGGGGCCGACTAACCTCTCCCTTAGGCTTTTGCCGAGCTTCCTGATCAGTCTGTAATTCCTCCCGGGGATAGCGGTGTTGGGGTCGAAATCTCTGGCATAGCCGTAAATGCTTTGCGCTGCCATACGACGCTTCAGCATTCGGGTCTGGGAGTATGGTCTTCGGTTAGTTATTTAATTTCAATGAACAAAACAAATAAAAAATCCTTCGCGGATGAACTATTAGTCGATCTACTCGTGAACACTCGAGTTTGTCAACCAATCTGATTACGAATCGAAAATAGAATTTGAGTCACACGTGTTGAAAAGTCTATAAAAGCTATTCAAGGAGATGAAATGATGAAAGAGAAAAAGCAAGAGAAAATAAACTATTCATATTGATGTTCACATTCTCTTGGAAAAAGATATAATAAGATAAACCCCAAAGTCTACGGTTAGAGTAGAATGAGAGCAAATACATAAAGAATCTAATTTTCCACTATATTTCTTCAATACTGTAAACATGTTATCGATGTCGGGAGTTTAGATGCTGTGAGCTTCCATCATGTGTTTGCCACAGAATACGCTTAAAATTACAGCCAAATTAAAGATAGATAAATCATTATCACTAAAGTTACCTGATAATGAAGTCATGACGACTTTCAAACGTCGGAATTTTTTTAGAGGTATTCTTCATCGACAAGTGTAATCCTAAATGCGCATGTACAAGCGTTTGGAGGACCGCACTAACTAGTCCTGCCTTGATTAATTCGATCAGATTTTTTTAACATTTTCTCATCCCTTCAATGAATGTACAACAAATTGAGTGTTTTCAGTAACAGAAAAACAATTTCTTGACTGTAAGTATTTGAATTTTATTTATTTTCTGCCAGTGGAGTACAACCATATTTCCTTATGCATACCTGTTATCGACAGCTGTTAAGTTAAATTCCATAATTATTATAATATTCTACGAGTAATGATGAAGTTAAAGTTGTTTTCTTTTAGAAGAACCAAATAAAAACTCTAGTATGCGATCCACTAGATAAACTAGAACTATGTCTGCCAGTATGACTTGTGCGAATAACTCACGGAACTGTGAAAAGAAAGAGAAAAAGTGAGTGATTGAATATCTATTGCTTCTACACATTAAGGGTAAGGTTAGACAATGATTATCTTATGGGACCTGTTTCAAAGGGGAAGGGAGGGGGAGGGGAGGTGGTATCCACCACGTCATACGTCCCTCACATATGTCTGACTGAAGTAAATGTACTGTCTGTTTTCGTGTATGCTAAACAACGTATTGGTGTATGTAGAAATAGTCACTATGAACACCCAGTATCGACTATTACAACAAGCCTTTGACTGAGGGGGAGGAGGGGGGGGGGGTCTTACAACAAGTCTGACTGAGGGGGGATGTATTTACCAGTACCCACCAATAGGGTCGTATTTTGGAACACCGTTTTGACCCTGCCCCGTAAAACATACACAATACCTTAGAAGGGAATGGTACGATCTGGAATTGTTCGGATAGTTCCGGCATAGAACCAGTGATCAACAGCCCTACGAATCCACCAGAAGCGAGCAAACTGTACATTAACGGTCTGTTTTCAACAAGACTTTCCATGAACGGATGACCCTAAGGAAACAGCTAACATAATTAATAAACCAGAATACGATTCCACAGCAGTGAACTTGAATACTTTGGATGACTTACCTTGTAGTTGACAGCAAATGTCAGTAACTGCAGCGCGATGGATATGATGTATACAGTGCTATTGAGAATTGTGGGTTCGAATTTGGACTCTAGATTCACATGGAATGTGGCGCTAAAATTGAAAAGGTTATGTTGATATCAGTAACGAGCGACAACACCCATAGTACTAGTATAACTTACTATTAGCCATACCGAGGTTGAAGCAAAAAAAAAAAGGGTAGAGTTGGCATTACAGCGAATGTGGGACTGTTTAGGGACGAAATGGACGCCATCTTGAAAATATTTTCCTCAACCTCGGAATGGCTAATTAGTGTAGAAAGAGAATTCCAGGTAACTGTGAAAACCTCCCAGGACAGTGACGGTGAAGCGCACATTTTGATTGGATAAGCAGTGACCGCGCGCGTGCTGTGATTGGTTAAAACATTATTGTCAATAATCCCGTACCGTGACCGTGCTGTTCCCCAGTCATGCGCAATATGTTCTCTAATACAGTTTCCGCAGTCACCCTTACCTGGTTGGAGTGAGCCGTTTTGCTTGCTTTACCATATATGCCAAAGCCACAAAGTGTACCGCAAACTGAGCCAAAACTGTTAGGATTGTGTAAACATTAAATATGTTGGGAAGCGGCCGGCGTTTCGATAACACCGAGAGGGGCTGCAACAAAATATTGATAACATTATGTTAGTAGAATCCCATGATACCAAGTTCGTCTGAAGTGAGAGAATACCTTAGATCTTGATATAAAGAGAAAGCAGCCAGCGAGAAGTATTCCCTGTAAAGTTGCTTGCCTGTTGATAGACCCAATATATACACATTACTATTACACGGTAGAGTAGCTATGGTAATATCTATGAGGACCCTGGGCAAGTGTGACCGGCGGCTCGTGTTTCAGCACCCAACCCCAGTCCCATGTTTTAGTGATAAATGTAACGTGGTATAATACGCAGAGATTGATGGTTTTCACGGCGGCCATGTTGGAGGAACTTGACAAAAGAATTGTCAATGAACTCTTTTGTTATATCCTCCAACATGGCCGCCGTGTCTTTTGTTATTTAATTCTCTTGGGAATGGTTGAAAACCATCAATTTAATACACTCACCCGTCACCGAACTTGATACCATCCAGATACAGAACGCTCTGGCTGTAGGCCAATATTAACGCATTCAATGCCAGGATTTTGAACATTTGTAGCGTTGTAACGAGAGTACATCGACCTTGCTTGATAATATGGCACACTGCAAAAATACGTAGATTATCAGTATGTTTCTTATAGCGGGCGAAGAAATTCAGTATGAACATAAGTTTTCAATTCGGCTTACTTTCACACACACACTACATTCATCATCTATACGTACAACTCTCATCTCACATGCTGATGTTTACCACAAGATCATATATATGGATTGCAATCTTACCGCAATTAATCGAAGATAACTTTGACGTGAATGGAGACGCGATGCAAGCATCTCCGAGTTGTACAATTTGATTCCCATCCATCTCGTCAATCTGTTTCAACATTTCTTGCAACTTTTTCTAGACAAACAAACCTCGTCAGACGGTTTTCCCAAAAGATATTTTATTGTATAAACCAAAATAACACCTAGACCTCTTCCTTGGGCGTAATGTTTTCTCATTTCTAACCAAGTGTCGTTCTCTTGAGAAAAAGATTATTTGCTTGAGTTGTATCCATATTCATGTGTCTTCTCATGCACAACCGTTTAATAAAGGAAGGATACTCAAGAGAATGAAACATGGTTTGCAATGGGAAAACATTGCACCCAAGGTGAAGAGGTCTATTCAATACCTGTGGGTCTGGTTTACTGGTATCTTCTCCTCGGGCAACTGCTCTCATCTTTGCAGCACGTGACGACCCCTTGGAATGAGAAGCAGCATTGACTCTTCCTCGGGATACAATCGTGATGTCATTACTGGCTTTACCATCAGCCTGTTGTAAACAATGTTACAAAATATCACAATCACTGCCACATAATTAATGGTACACAACACGCCATAAGTCTAACCATGGATTTAGATGAGGTACTGACGTCATCCTTGTGTTTACTAGTTGATCGTTTCCCATGGTCTGGCAGGCGTTCTGGGGCACCAGTCAACAAGGCGACGCCTATACATAAATATTACAACATTAGTGACGCTTTCCTAGTTATGTATCTGATAAGACATGGTTTTAACAAGCCTGACTACCTACCACAGTTGGCATGTTTAAGTGCTCCAACATCATTGGTACCATCACCACACATCAATGTTATGTATCCCATACTTTTGAGTCTTGTAATCACTAGCTCCTATTAAACAAAAACATCAATGTAAATCAAAAACAACCTCTTGACTGACCTAAGGACTTTGGGGAACAGTAGCTTGTTTGGTTTTGCGGGGGGAGGTGAACTAGACAACCAAAGAAAAAGCCTCGAATCAAGGAACAGACACAACAAACTCTACCCACAGAGGAGAGAGATGAGTGCACTAACACCATTTATTCCCATAAAACATATTATTAATCCCATATAAATGGGGTGCAGGTTATATCCTACCTTCTGCTTGGGTGATACTCTAGCAAACACTCGTACAAGAGGCAACACTGAATCCAGAAAACTAGACATGTTGGGTGACATGTGCAGGAATGAAAACGCCTAAAAATGATTACAAAACACCTGTTTAAGGTATGGACCTCTAAAGTGTGATATCATTCATGTGAATAAAAACGACTTCTGGTTGGGAAATAAAAATTATTCAACAAAGTTTTTTCTTGCAATTTCCTTTGCATTAGGATTTTGGTGTTGATTTATGCTTGCTGGAGTTGGGGAAAACATTTTCCAGGACCGTTATTTTTTGACACTGTTTTGGTTCTTCATTGATGGACAGCAGGAACCAGAAATACACCAATTTTGAAGCTCTAAAGGATGGGACATGCTGTGCCTACAAAGGAATCCATTATACCTCTCCTGTTAAACACAGGTCATACTTGGCAGTAAGATCATTGGATCCTCTGGGTGGAATAAGAGGAAGCTTGAAAGATCCATCAACTGGTTCCCAATGCCACTTATCTTTCCCTGAAACATGCAAACAGAAACAACTCAATTGTTAGCCTCTTGCAGGTAACATGCCTTTAAGGAATCAAGGACGGTGTAGTAACACTTGCCTCTCACCTCTGGGGTCACAGGTTTGATTCCTGGACTCAGCATCACTTGTGAGTAGAGTTTAATGGTATCATGACCCTTGATTTGAGTTTTTTTTTATCCAGATGGTTTTTCTCCCTCTGCAAAACCCAACACACTAATTTGATTTACCATGCTATGCTTAAATCAGCCCAGAGGTTGTTCCAGGAATGACTTTGGTTTGGTTTGTGCAGGTATGTTTGGTTGGTGGAGGTATGTTTAGTTGGCATGTTTGTGTTCTTTACCTACCAGTTTCACTGGCTGTTGTCGTCACAGAAGGAGTCATGACTAGTGTTTCCTTTTTGGTAAGTCTCAGCTCCTTAGCAACATGACAAGCAGTTAAAGGGTTATCGCCAGTAATCATGGTAACCTAGGAAACAAACATATCACTATTACCTGGCATATCACTGTACCAAGGTTACATTATGTTAAGAAAAAAGGAGTTTTTAGCTTAATCTTCCAGTGGACTCTACAACTGGTTTTTCTAGTTTGAAGGTTTTTTGCAAGGTTCTCTGGTTTTCCTCTGTCCTCAAAAATTTAACTCTTGAATATGGGTTTAATTTGGTGTCGAATGCTTAGGTCATTGAACAATCCCTCACTGTATCTTTGATGTTAGGGATATTATAAGGATATGATAAAATGTGTATAGTCTAGTAACATACATAATGTGAAGAGTCTTGAATCTGTTTTATGACGTTCTTGGAGTCCACCTTCAAAGGACAGGCTATGATAACAAAACCAACAAACTCAAGCTCACTTTCGATACTTTCACGTGTTAAATCTCGAACCTGCAATTAATGCCATTAAATAACCATTAGTTAATTCATAATATTTGGCCTGTACGAATATGTAAAACATGAAAAGTCACTCTCTTGATTGGAGAGTTTTTTTCCATGATCTCTAGTTATGATCTTCCCTTCACTAAACCTAACTCACTAATTCTCTTTGATCTGTGAGTTATCTATCAATGCCCTGACATAGATCAGTCTCAAGGTTGCTTCTGGGTTTAGACCTTTATTTTAAAGTCAGACCAAGGGCACACTCACCTCTTTGGCAGCTAATTCTCCCAGTTTCTTAAATCCAAGTGCCAACACCCTTGCTCCTTGGCAAGTCATTTTGTTGTAGACATCATCGTAGTTATCTGGTACTTTGGTGTACTATCATGATATATAAAAATAAAAACTGGATTAGCCACACAGTCTTACTCCTGAAGATTCCCATGTTATTGCAAGATTATAAAATGAATCAAAGAAAATAAGAGCACATGCTGTGTGCAGTCATAAAGCATGTCTACAAGGATTGCCAGGACCTGAGAAAATAGTTAAGAAAAGCATGACGCATACCTTTGTAGCTGCACACAGCACAGCACAGCACAGCACTGCACTGCACAGTACTGCACTGATCTGCCAAGCTTACAAGCAAGTTTTTTAAAAATAAAATACAAATTAGAATATCTGCTCTTTTTGGTAAGAATGAAGAAATAGAATGTGTGAAAATGTGCTGTGTGCTCTTATAATGCACGCGCTTCAACCAATCAAAACATGAGATTTATAACAGCTATCTCGAAACAAAACAATTCTGTATTACATATTACCATGCTTCTTAGTGTTTCTGGTGCTCCTTTTACAGCAGCAAAATAATCACTTGTTGTTGAACCTTGAGTTTGTAGTGAAACTACAGTAGACATTCTTTTGAGTGCACTAGCAAAATGAAACCTGTGCATAATGCGCATAGTTACTCGCCGACCCTTGTTAGGAATCACTAGATCACCTGTCAAAAACAAATGTATAGAATAATAAACATATAAGAAATACTCTCACTTCTATGGGTGGAAGCCTTAAATACAAGCATAAATCTTCTTGGTAATTACATAAGAGATAAAGTGTCATAGCAGTAGTGCTCTCTTTTCTCACCTCTCTCCCTTTACAATAAAACCACACAATAAACTTCAATATTAAAATGGGTGACATATTAATCTCAGGAGTTATTCCAGAGATTAGCATCTGCACGTAAGGCATCCCCTGACTTTGGTAAGCCCAAAAGTTGATTCAGGGTTCAATCTGTGCCCTGAGTATGATGAGATAGGAATAAACCATTCCCTTTAATGTTGCCATACCTTTAGTAATTCTCCATTCCACTGACTGAAGCACTGCTTTTTCCAGTGGATCTCCAATAATACTGTCATCCAGACACACAAGTGAATGACATGAAGCTAAGACATGCAAAGTGTTTTCTGGTATTTCTGCTATTGAGCTCACTTCACCATCATCTCTGTTTGTGATTCAATGAAAGTTAATGTATAAATAAATAATCATTCAAAATTGAAAGACATAACCATAAGAGCATCTTCCATGTTGTAGGATACCTTACCTTAGTCCAGCAACACCTTCCACAACCAGGTTATCACTTGTTAAGGTTCCAGTTTTATCAAAACAGCAGATGTCAATCTTACCAGCAAATGGAATCCTAAAGGGCTCAGTACAGTATACAGCTGAAAAGAAATATGTGAACATTGTTGTAGTTTAGTCGTACTGCTAGTACAATGGATTCAGTACAATTACCAGTGTGCAATGTGTTTAATACTATGGTTTGTTGTACATTGATGCACTTTACCTAGTTTTTGCAAGGCTATGAGTGAAGAGTTGACAGCTAACGACAGCTCTATAGGTAACTCTGGTGGTACCACTGATGTTAATATTAGAGTACATTCCAGGAATAGCTTGTAGCGGTTACGATTGGGGTCCTCTGTACCTGGAATTGGAAACAAGACATAAATCATGAGCTTTGAAGTCACAGTATGCACTATCAACATTTGTACATTCCAAAATGGGAAAACAGATGTCAGAATTGTGTTAGCATTTTTATATCAATAATATATACCTTTAACCCAGACATATACAGCAGCAGATATAGCAAATACCAGCAGAAACAAAATGAATAGGAATGTTTCCAAGTTATTAGCCGTCACTCGCTTTACACCAAATAGGATTGTCTTAAGTAGTTTGCCCTGGAAAACAGACAAACATATTCTTGGAGTAAATTATTCAGCAAAAACTGGGTTATCTAATAAGATTGAACAGATATCCAAGGTAAATGTTTCAAAACAGATGACATGACATACCTGTGATGTGTTAAATCCAGTGCGTAGAACATATCCTATACATCCATTATCAGGGGCTGTAAATTTCAAAGATCCATTAACGTTTATATTTCAAAACATTTGCATGGAATAGCTAGTCCCCTCTGCATAAACCGTACCTACCTTTAAGACCTGCAGATGTTTTTAAGGGTGGAGAATGCTGTACTACTTTTGTTCCTCCTGACAATAGATGCAGCTTACTGTGCTGGTCTAAATCAAATACTTCACTGTGAGGTAAATCTTCTATGGATTCCTGAAAGACAACATGGTCCAATCAACAAACATTTATCACTGTTCCATATCCCAGATATTATAATATACTATTAATATTATTATTTATCGTCAGAACGATTTTCATTAAAATAATATACCTTCATCTGTGGTACTGACTCTCCTGTCAACATGGCTTCATCGATAATACATGACCCCCGTAATAAAACAAGATCACAAGGAATAAGAATATCAGAATTTTTGGGTCTCCCTAAAAAAACATAAAAAAACATACATCAAGATAAGATCTTGAAATGATTATTAAGCAAACAATGTAAAGTAATCTACTGAAATGTGACCACTGTCTTACCAATCGAAACAATGTCACCAGGAAGTAGTTCATTACTATGAATAGGTCTCCACTTTCTGTTTCTGTAAACCTAACAGACAATATATAAATAAGAAGTTAATCTCATTATAATAGTTTCAACTCCCAAATGTCTTAGAGATACTGCTAGTAATCTATCTACCTGGATGAGGTAAGGTTTTGAACCCATATTCCTAATCTCCTTCATGTTCTTCAGTTGCTACAATCACAAGTGGAAAACAAATTAAAAAATCAGGATAATAACAAGTTAATATGTGTGTTAACGATGTTGTATGGTCATTAGTCTGAAAGTAGCTCTGCAAATAATATGAGTTTGGCATTTTATACTTTTAGAATCTTTAGTTATAAACAAAATATTTATAATGGGGGAGAAGTGGGTGGTATATTGCCATCCTACCCCCTGGATGCACCCGTGGGTAGCAAGATATTTGTAAGAACTTCAAACACACTATATTGAATAAATGTTTACTTGGAAGAAGGATTCTTACCTGTTGTACTAAAGTCGCTTCAAATGCAACAAGCATGAATAAGGTAAATAAACTGTAATACCAGTATTCATCCAAACACCACAAGCCAACACAGAACACTTGAAACACAAAGAAAGGTGCTGTTGCTCGTTCTTTGAACAGTTCCATGAACTCTGGTACATCCATGTCCAACCTTACAATATGAAAACAAGACTTCACATGTCAGAAGTACGCTAACTTTTTAAATCGTGAGGCCACTAATGACATTGTATAGAATCTTTTTTATTTCTTCTGTAAAACAGAAGCAATAAAAAATAAACCACTGGCACAGCGAGGGGGTTTGGGTGGAGGGAGGGGGTGGGGGCAAATGCACCCCTCTTTAAATTCATTATTTTCTTTCAAACATTGTTTTTGTCAAGAAAAGCTGAAAATCTTTAAATATGTATATATAACAGTTATGTCTTGTGTGACAAAACAACTATCTTATCTATATCACATTGGATTATTGTGATGGTGATGAAGTTCCTATGAGTTTTGAGAACTCCCCACACTCCCCCCCCCCTCCTCCCCCCCCAACTACTGTAAGCCATTACAGATTCATCACATGGTACTTACTCATTGCAACCATATTTATCCACAGCATTTTTCACTGTTTGATCATCTTGGTAACCCTTCCAGTCCAAATAACGACCTATTGGTTCATTGATTGGGAATATGATGGGGCAAAATGTCTTCTTCTCTTCTGCATCATAAACATACTTTGCTTTTTGGAATTTAAACCAGATTCTTTCTTTACCTGTTGCTTTGTCCTGTGTTCAAAAAGCAGAAGCAAGATTAAAAAAACATCCATACCCAATCCTGAGAGAAAATTGGAAATTATGGAGGGGAGGGGAGTCAGAGAAAAAATAAATTTACAGAGTTTGTATGGAAGAAAATTAGAAGTTTCTGGAGGTAGGGGGACTTTTACAAATTGCCTTCACGATGTGGGTATGGATGTTTTCTGAAATTACACATTGGTATAAAATAACTGTTACAATTTTGATTTAAGGCTGGTTTTCATTGGCAAATCAGAATCAGAGTAAGAATGGGAGTAGAAAGCAGCTAATTGGAGTAAGAAGGCACATGAGAATCAGCATCGCAAGACATGGAAGTTTCTCTTTTCCTTAGCTTCTACTCATAACAAGCAGTGCATTCACTTTCAGTTTTATGCATCAACTGCTTCTAATTCCTGCATGTGTAATCGCACACATCACGCATGACTTTTTTCTTCATTTTCTAACCTTAATTTTTCAAACATACTGAAAGGTATATGAGCAGAAAAGTGACTACCTACCCTATCATGGTGTAGATTGAGTAGCTCAGGCCAGCCATGATTAGGAGTTGGAACCACCTTGATCACTGTTGCTTGAGAAGCATTACTCACCTAAATATAGCAAACACGTGTGTTAAAGAAATAAAGCCAAAAAATCACGATCTTAATTACAGTACACGTATGTCTAAGATGCTATGATAAATGAGGAAGTGGAAAATCGATTCATGGAAAAGGATAAGGTAATCGAGATCAGGATTTGAATAAGAAAAAAGAAAAATTTCTTGTACATTAAAGAATGAAAAATAACTCACCGATGAACAAGTAAAAAAAGATCTAACGTGGACCGACCAATGACAAAAGAGACACGACAAGATTTGAACACAACCAATGATAGCAACTACAATCAGCCCTGCTTCAAAATATTCATTGATCCCGTACTCCACTACCCATACATACAGCCATGTTAGATACAGGGGGATGAATGGGAGTAGATATAAGTGCAAGATAATAGGTCTTAAAGTGTAGAGACTGATGTACTGTATCTCATCAGACAAAGAAGCCATCTTGGACGCCATCTTGAATCACCCCAACACGCATGCGTACTGGCCGCTGACTAGGACCTGTGACGTCATAGCAGTAAATTATGCAGGAAAACTTGAGGTGTGCAGTACGAATATATGCTAGAATTCCTTGGTTTTTCTGCTTTGATTTACTAAGAAATGGTGATTTATGGCGCTGTTTAGGTGCCAGGCGTTAAAACAAAGGTTTCTCGTCCCTAAGCTGTCGTCTGCAGTAGTGTATTATGTACATTCCCACCTCCAGTATACGCCAACCATTTCGCAGGTAAAATGAGCCTTTATACTACGTACTACTACCGATTTATCTAGCAAAACAGAGCATGATACAAAGTTTCGTGGTTTTATAGTTTAAGTCAAGACACTTTAAATGCTGACTTCTTGGTCACATACCTCGTATTGGTGAACACAACACGACCTTGAATATGATTGTTTTCTTCTTAATGTATTGCCCCTCATTGTATTGCCCCTCATACTGTGCAGCATGCATGTATGCAATAGGAGTTATTAAACCCAAGAGAGACCTTTCAAACACATCAATCATGATTCTTTTGAGTGCTCTTAAACTTCCAGGATGTGTATATTAGAGTTTAGTATAAACAAGCCAGCATTTTTGTAAATCCTACATTCTGATTGGCCCTTTTACGCCAGTATAAACAATCCAACATTTGTAAATCCTGCATTCTGATTGGCTCTCCTGTGCCAGTATAAACAATCCAGCATTTTGTAAATCCTGCATTCTGATTGGCTATCCTACACCAGGATAAACAATCTAGTATGTTATTGCAAATCCTGCATTTTGATTGGCTTATTATGGTCTGTTTTTAACCCTCATATTTAGACCATGATATATGCATTATTATATGAAAAATTGTCATTCTTTGTTACTTTGTTGCATTTTCAGGCACTGCAGAAATTTGATCTCCCAGGAAATGAACTGTGCAGATATCAAGCACCTCAAACACTGACCAATAAACCACATGTGATATCTAAGAACACAGCTGAAAATGAGCATGCAGATGGATTGAAGAATATTCTTCAAGGAAATGAAATAATCAGTGAATCACAGATGCCTTCAAACTTAGTTACATCACTTAGGCTGGACCCTTTTATCAGTCAGACTCAGTTAGCACTTTTATCTTTGTGTTATGATACACACAAAAACTTCAGAGCAACTTATCGGAAATCTCTAGACCAAAAAACATTAAAACCGCCCCAGAATATTAAACTATCATCATTATCTAATCTAAGTCATAATAATTGTTATGATAAGAGCAAAAAGGGCAGTGGTGGGACTGTATATAAGGTATATGGTCAAGAATCAATGCAGAAGGAATCAAGAGCACTAAATACAGTGTTATATATGAATAGTTACAAGGACTTATGTAACAAGACAGATACTGTGAAGAAAAATAAGCAAGACAAGTGTGATCCTTTACATCTTGCAATTGTGTTTGATTTCCTTAGAGAGGAGGTAAATTATGATCAAGCTGTTTTAATTGGTAGTCAAGGGTGTAATAGCATTAGCACTTGCCACTTGTCTTCATATGTGAGTAAAGTTCATTACTGGTTAAGTAAGGTCTCTCCCTCGATTTGAGGGTTTTTTCCAGGTTCTCCAGTTTTCCTTCCTTTGCAAATCCTAATAATGCTAAACTGCAATTTTTTTCTGTGAGTTAGCTATACCCTGACCCAGATCAGCCCAGAGATTATCTTAGGACTTACATAGCATTTGAAGTTTTTTTCCTAATTTTTTTGATTCATTTATTTATAGTATCAATGCTTATATTGTTTTCCTAGATTCCTTTGTTTTTCACCAAAGGACATGGATATGAACTTTACCACAACAATGTGACTTTTGTGAATGGCCTCCTTGGAATGACATTCAGGTAGAACTAATCTTGCAGCAAATTTCAATATTATACATGAGTTTGGTTTTTCATTGCTACCGGTGGAAATGTAAGTAATAATATTGTTTTATTATTATTGACAGCAACAAAAAAGTCAATTTCATCATGCAGCTAGCAACTTTTGAGTAGAAAACCAATATCAAATAAGCTTATATTTAGCCTCTCTTGTTAGATCAACCAATATGTAAGCTGTTTCATTATTCATATCTCAAGGGATTTTGAGTCACATGGTTGCACACACTCTATTTAGAACATGTACTCATAGTATTGAATCAGATTGATGGTGGATTTTTCGTTTTTTAAATAGAGGTTTAAAAGCCTATAAGATGTCCATAGCATCAATGAGAATAACATGTCAGATGCTAATGACTGATGCTACCATGGAAATACTCAAGATTACCAAAGATAGCAAAGACTGCAACATTAAAGTGCGTTGGCGTGTTAGTGGCGTACCAAGATTTAGTATGTTTAGAAGCAGGGCAAAACAGGACATCAATAATAAGAGGTATGGTAATTGCTTTATCTCAATTATCTTTTTTTCCCTCCGTCGTAATTAGAAACTACCTGTAGCAGCATAAAGCCTTGTTTTCAATAGTAGGCAAGCATAAGCATAACAATATAAACATGTGCAGATAGTTACTTTTGAAATAGCTGTATGTATTTAGATGTTTTGGTGTGTGTGTGTTCCAATTACAGGTATGTTGATGGTTTCTCTGTCTTTGAAGTTGGTGTGGATGGCCTTATTCATTGTCACAGATTACTAAAGGTAAAAATATTTCCTTTCCCCATATTAGCAATTATTTTCTCCTTTAAACAATAATGTGCTTTATATTTTCTGGGTAATTTTTTATACAACAGTCAGGTCCCAGCAAGACTTGATCCCAAGTTGCTTTGTTGAGGAAGATGCATTATCAACACAACACCCATGCTTTCTGAGTATAATATCCTATCCTTCTTATTAATGTTCTAGTTAATGCCAAGTCATTCTGGTCAACTGGATAACCCTCTGTGGGCACTGAACTCTGCTGCTGTTATCAGTTTACTCAGGCAAGAAAAAACCTTTGAGATGTTTGCTCGTCAGCGTGTGGAGGATATTGAAGACACCATCCCCCTGTTTGGAGCCAGCTGATTCTATTGTTTGAAAAAATAGGATATTTAACTTAAGCCAGTTACTGGTAGCATAAATAAATCTGCAATCATAGACTGGTAACTAAGATAAAATGTGGAATAAAATGACTAAGAGATGGTGTTATTTTAAATTGGTGTTCTTCTCAATTTATTATTTATAAAGCATGCAATCCAAGGCTGTTCTATTGTTTTATTAAATAATCAACATTATTTAAGAAAAAGTCGTATGTTAATTAATATTGTTTTTATTCTGTTACACTTTTATCGTATCAAGTCCTGTTTTGAGGGATTTAAACCTTTGGCAGTAATAACAACATTTCTTTGTCTCTAATAAATATTGAAAATTGGTGCTGTGAAACTATTAGTTTTTCATTTTCAAATAATTTTTTAAATTAGTTTTAGACACTTTTTCAAAATATTCAAAATTAGTATCAAGAATAAATAACAAAAACTCAACTAAAAATAATTATTGAAGAAAGAAAAAATCAAGAGTAAAAATATGATAAAATAACGCAAAAGGAATGACCTTCTGCTTGACAAAGGAAGCCCAATCAGTTAAATGTCGCACTTCTGGTTTCAAGTTGTGGTGCAATGTTTGTCACTGCATCTAATGATGCAATCGTTGAAATACATCTTGAAATCCTCAATAAAAAGCCCTTCCCACTGTATATACATCATTCTTATCTTATACTTCCTAGTATTGTCCTTAGTATCGACTGCTACCTTACGGGATAAAATATCTATGGAAGCCGAGCGACAACCAGTGGATTTGGTGTTCGTAGTCGGGCCGACACACTCCAAGGCGAAGAAAGCTATTTCACGCTTTATGCGTCGACTATTACAATCATCGAATGGCTTCAAAGTGGCTTCAGTATACTTTACGCCTAAACACGATCCCAACCTCGGTAATAACGTATTTCTGAGTCGTATTATTGATTTTAGCGATACGGCATATCCTGACAAGATAAGCGAGTTACCCCAAGTACAGGGGAATCCCCTTCAACACATCAACAAACTCAGTTTTCGCGATAATGCCATCAAGATTTGCTTCTTCATGAGTAAGTACATGTCTGAGTGTTTTTTTCCTTCAAGTAAGCCAAAGGTTCTTTTTACTTTTGTATGTTGTAGAGAAATTAAAAATGCAATATTATCCAACGATCTGGCGTCGACGACTTTCGGGTGCAAAACAAATGCAGTTCTATGAAGATGTTTTCTTAATTTTCCTTCATGACAGGATTTGTAGTCCAAAGTTACATTTATTTCAGGTGGAAATTAAATAACTGACAATATTTTTCACTTAATACTACTTACAAAATAGTGCAAAAATGTGTGTTTTTTTTTTTTTTTTTTTTTTTTTTTGCAATAACATTATTTATATATATTCTATTTTGTAGGTGATACACTACCCTTTCATGATTCATATTATGAAGATAATGCAAGACAGGAAGACAATGAAAATGATGTCCAAAGCACAGTGGAAGAAGTATATCATGAGGACCCATTGCTTACTTGCCATCATTTGGCTGCAATGGGAGTTGCATTGTATTGCATAGGAGAAAGGAATCATTGTGCGACATTCTGTAGAGACATGTATACAGCATTCACTTACATCACAGGAGGACAACTTATACTATTGGACAAGATAACAAGTTTACGAAAGGTATGTATGTGACATAATTTTTACAGTGCTATCAACTTGATTAATAGAGGTTGTCCTCAAGTCTTGATGCCTCTATAGAATATAAATATTTGATTATAGGGGACCAGCCATTATTTAGATGGGGAATAATGGCTGGTGCAATTAGGGACAAAAGGTAATTCCTATGTAAAGAAAGAGGGGAAGGCATGTAATTTTATTCAAGTAGGGGGCATTTATTAAGTCATTTATGGAAAAAAGAAAATCTTAAAAAGCCTTCAAGCCTTTAAATTTTATAGATTACTCTAAAACAGCTTCTGTTGCAAGTTTGCTTTTAAATTACATAATAAACTAAATTCAATGGTATATGTATTCCATAGACACTATGGTACATCATCATGGAAGAAATTTCCTTGGAGAAACAAGTTGGTCAACTGGGAGATTATTTGTGTGTTGCTTGGCATAGATGGGGCAGAATGAAAGCAAGAGTACCAGACAATGTAGAAGTTTTGACAGACAACATACTAAACCACTTTCACAATACAAATATCATGACGTATGAAGTTTTGGTGGGTGGAAACACCCCAGAAAAGCCAAGTAAACTAGCAAAGGAAATTGCTAAAGTGTCTAATGTGAACAAAGCAAGAGGTTTGAGTACTAATCAGGAAAATTGGTCTACAGAGTTAAACTGGTTGCCAGAAGAGCACGAGGTTATTCCAGGCTACAAAGAAGTTCCTCTTATGAAAGAAAATACAGACGTATCAGTTTCCAAACTTAAATTGGTGACAAGAAATCAAGTATCAAGAATACTGATGAGGGTTTTGACCAGGAGACCCAATGCAAAACAGCTCTCACACAATCCACCACAGACCACTCCTGGCAATGAGAAGCAGGACACTATTCAAAGCAATAGCAGTGTTGTCCCTCCCTCTTGTGATCTTACAATGGACAATAATAATAATAATAATAATAATAATAAATTATTAGAAGAAACTGTTCTCAAGACAAAGGATTGCAAACCTAATGAAACCATTGTTATCAATTGCCAAAAAATTGCATTGTGTAGTGTAGCATAATGCATGCCCAACTTTATTTATTTTTATTTAAAAATAACACAACATCTGTTGTAATTCCGATTGTTTTTTTAATATAATAATTTATTAATGAAATATTATTTTTATAATAGTTTACAATTCACAGCCAGTCCAGTTTCATATTACTTTCAATATTTTCAGAAACAATATTCTTTTCTTCAAATGCAGAGTAATTTCTATATTATGTATATTATTGTAGGTTTGGTCATGTATGTGATGGTATTGCATTTATTTTTAAAACTTGGTCTATCTTGTTTTTATGGAACTGAAAGGCTGGTGTTATCCATGCAGCACAAGAGCATTGCATTCCTAGAGAATTAGAAATAAGAATCTCTCATGAATACATTTTATTAGTTAAACGTGTGAGGATCTCTGATAGTTTTAACTATAACTACCAACAATATTAACACTTTCTAAGCTCTCACCTGACCAGTTGAAAGATCCCAATCTACAGTTACACTTTGGACAAAGCAGCTGTCAAATAATATATACAAATTGTGCGATGAGTGACTTTATTTTTTGAATTCCTTAAATCTATTCGGTTTTATTTCATCAATACTGGTACACAAATTATACAAAAAGTTACATTAAAATATTTGAATAAAATCTTCATGTGGTCTGTCAACATTTTGAAGCAAGAGTGCATGCCATATATCATTAAAAAACTCTGTAAGAAATTGTATAAATTTGCACAAATTAGTTAGTTCAGTAAGCTGTATCGAGTTTGCTCTTGGGTCATATTATATGCATATATAGTTTAAAAAGTAACGGTTCATCACTTGTACAAGACTTTGCATTTATTTGTACAATTTTGTTAGTTAGCTTTTTCACGGAGTTATGGTATGCACTCTTACCAAAAATTATTACTGGTAATTATTTTAAACTTCACCTTTCCCTCAATAGATCCTAGCAGAAATGATGACATCCATTCAACAGGATCAATAAATACTGAAGTACAGGCCACATTGTTGGTATTAGCTAGGCCAGTTGTCTGGCTGGTTGGCTTTTGCCAGCCAAATAAATGAGACCCTTGATTTGGGTCATGTTCGACAATACTTGTTGAATGAAATAGTGTAATTCTGAAGATGGAGAAGAAATACCTCATTCAAGATTATTACAGTCTAACCTACAATAAAGTTGACGGGAAAATAGAAACACAATAATAATGAAATATGTTGGGAAATGAGAAGATAAGTTAATAAATATAATATGATTTATTAGGAAATCATGTAACATGTCTTGCCTGCACTTTTTGCACTTGTATTGTTGTAAATCATTGGAAGCAGTAGTCATAGCATTCCTGGATGTGGCTTCCTTCAGGAATTCAGTCATCAGCTCTTTATTGGCAGCACCATTTTCTGGTGAATGTGTATAACATTAGTAATACAAGATATGATTCAAACTACAATATTGATGCAAATTCTTTTATGAACTTGGGTAAAATTACCTTTAATTTGATCAGCAAGCAATTTTAGTTTGAATTGTTTAAAAACTTTACTAGATTCATCAACCGTATTTTCCATTACTTCGTAAAGTCTGAGCTGCTTCATAAATCCAGGATTTGGGCTACAAAATTGAACAGAAAAAGATGGCTTACCTTACTATATTYACTGAAAGAAAGCATGGTATTAGGCTTATTAGGTTACTGTAATATTTGTGCTTTTGTTCTCAGTAGCAGATGGTAGATTTGAATTTGTTGGACTGTACACCAATCCAAGGTCGACCTAGCGTGACCTTGGAAAGGCATGACACCTTGAAAACCTTGTCAAGTGGAAACACTTTGATGGATTCATGTCCATAATATGATGATTCAAAAACTATTTGCAATCTTAAAACTCTAGAGTGTGTGGGCTTATAGCCTAGAATCCAGAAGGTGCTTGTTTTATTCTAATATTTCAATCTACTTTTGTTTACCGACCTCAGAAGTGAGGCGAAGCCTGCAAACACTGGATTTTCAAGAATCATCAATTACAAACAAATATAGGGGAGGTGTCTTATGAGACATTCATAATATAGATGTGATCCATTCCATCATGTCATATGCTCATCAACTCACTTGACTTTATCTTCATAATAAACTTGTTTTAATCTGCTAACAGCTTTATCTAATGTTAGACTTTCAGTTTTCATAAGGTATGCAAGGATAATGGTGACACTTCGAGACACCCCTGAAAGACTTAACAGAGAAAATCATCATCATCATTAATATATGATATTTGATGGATCAAGAAATATTCCAAATATGCTAAAGTTATATAAATAACATGATGATAAAGATCATGCATACCAGTGGACAAGAACTGTTTCATTATTTCTTATTCCCTCTTCAATAAACTGAATACATCGATCAAATAAAGAGAGAAGGTCAGCAGTTGGTTCGTCCAGACAGTCAACATGTAACCTTGTAATCTTGTTGTCTGTCACTGCTACATGACGTTCATCAGGCACTTGACTGTCAATAGTCAATATACGGTTTATATTACATTGTCTAAGGTTTTCTATGTTGTTAGCATCTTCTCTTGTGCCAATAAACAGTCCAGGCTTTACCAGCTTCATCTTAATCATCTAGAAACCCTTTCATCCCTCAAGGATGGGAGCCCTCGTGGCCAAAATGGTTCACGTGATACTCTGTCAATGGGTTTCCTGTGGTTTGCCAAATACCACAGGTATCCCACAAAGTTATCTAACTTAGGCTGCAATTTTCCCTAGCCTGCAGAGCAGGCGTTCTTTGGATGGGTTTGAGGAAGAATCGGGGTTTTGGGGTTCCTGTTTCGACCGAGGGCCCCAAACCCACAAGAACGCCTGCTTTGCAGGCTACAATTTTCCCCACCCATTTACTTTTCCATAATATTTTCATTGCCCTTTTCCTTCAAAAGCACTGGTAATAACTGCCCCTTTACAAAAAATGTCCTCGATCTTGACAACAACAAGATCACTCTTTGAAAAGAACACATTTGTTTTTCATGACAGAACAACAGGGTTTGAGTTTAAAAAGATTGCATTAATTTATTCATAATTTGAAGTACACATAATTTGCCATAAAGATTAAAGTGGCCTACAAACAATATTATTAGCTACCGTCTTAATTGATTCACTACATCTTGTTCATCAACCAACATGGTGGTCATACCTTTTGCCCTTTTAGTCTCACACATTATTTATAGTACACATCAGTATTTAATAAGTGAGCTTAGAGTATAGTGTTGTGATGACAATAGCTGACTTTAGCTTGACGAAAAGTATAAACTCTGATATATAAATGCACTGCCTAACAACAGCACAATTAAAATAGCCAATTGATACAATAGATAGAATGTATAGAATATCATCTGGACTTCTTAACTTTGTTTAAATAAAACTAGTTGAAAACTGAGGCTTAATCTTTTACTGTACAAAATACTACATGTGAGTATTCTTGGCTGTATCCACTCTTGCATGTGGTTATGTCTGTAGGCTTATATTCATCTTTGTACATTGGGTATGTGGAAGGTAATGGAAAAGGTTACAAAGCTATTCTCTGTGTCGTTATGGTTATGTGTCTGACTTCCAGATCTTGATTGTTTTATCATTCTCTAAGGCACCAGAAGCGATTATATTTTCTGTTGGGTGGCAAGCACAGCAAAGGACAACATCTAGAAGGTAAAACATTACTGATATTAATATTTATATTACAATACATATTACAGGATAGATTTCAAATTAGGCTCAAAAAGAAAAATTTGGAGAGTACAAGTTTTAAGACCTCCAAATTTGTCTTACTAATATTATGCACAATTTTCGGGAATTTAAAACATTGATTATAATGCAATTAACATTTTATTTTTTTGTACCATTACCTATATGACCCTCTAACTTCTGTGCAACTTCTTTTGACTGGAGGTTCCATATGTAAACCATGTTGTCTTCTGAGCCAGAAACAATCCACTGGAAAGAAATATGCAGGATACCATGAACATTCTTGCATGTACTAATATGTATCTGTATATTCAATAAGGTCACATATGTATCCTATTTAAATACCTTTCCTCCAGTCACTGAGAAATTTCCAAATATACAATACTTTTCATTCTTGTGTCCAGTATAGGTCTTCAAGCACTAAATACAAGACAAACATTACTATCAACCAAGAACTGACAAGATTATTTCACAAATTGTTGTTCATGAAATTGATTTAGTTTGGACATACCTTTCCTTTGCTATAATCCCAAAGTTTTAATGTACTGCAAACCAAGAAAAAGTAAAATCAGGTTAATTTCTATTGTATATGTTCAAGTAGCTTTCTTTAAGGTATAGCTGTAGTCACAGTAAGTGAAGGATATCCAGTGTTTTAGTCATGAACCTCTTGCTGTGTTATAAAGTGATAATAATATACTGCATTTTATCTATAAAAGATGTTTCAGGATATTTCCAAACACATTTAGTACTTAACATTGATAGACCGAAGGTTGTCATAGTTACGTACTTGTCTAAAGTAGCGGCCAAAATATATTTGCCATTTGGTGAAAACTTGACAAATGACACAGGCGGATTGTCATCATCTGTTGAGAAAGATTTTAAATTCTTTGATCAATCTCTGCACTGCTATCAACAGTTTAACTCCATCTTACACAGTCTTGTTATCACTTACCAATAAGAGTTTTCAAACACTGTCCAGAAGTAGTATCCCAGATTCGACTATAAAATAACAAAGGTAAAAGCATAAATGAATCTGACTCTTTTCCTTCGGTAATAATACTGTCTTGCCTACCTAACATTCAAAAATAAAATAAACTAAGATACTAACCACAGCCCATCGTAGCTACTGGATACAATCAATGCACCGTCTCTGTTGAAGTGAACCTGAAATCATGAATCATCACATTATTCAAAACAAATATATATATGCATAAAAATATTGAAATAAATAAAAGCAAGATTAAAACACATACTGCTGTAACAGGATCTGAATGGGCAGGTAATGTCTTGAGACACTTGCCAGTCTTTACGTCCCAGATACGGACACTCTCATCAAACTAGAAAAAACCCACAATATTACTATTAATTTTTTAGACCTTTTTATTCCCTTGAGTATCATTTCTTTGTTTAATAGTGGTGTATGAGAAGGCATATGAATATGGATACATCTCAAACAAAATAATTATCTTATTTTCAAGAGAATGACACAGAGAAAAATGTGCCCAAGGTTATAAGGTCTATTCAGTTCAATTCAAAATTATAAGGTTTAGTCCAAGAAAAACACAGTCCCCATACAAGGTGTCAAGGATGGTATGATAGAACACAATACTTACTGAACCACTAACGATAAGGTTGGACTGAGGATTAAAATTACAGCAGAAAACGTAATTACTGTGACCTTTCAAAGTCTTGAGACATTTGCCCTGCAAATAATCAAAAACACTCTAGTCAGCAACAAGCACATACAAAGGTATGACTACAGAGCACTTGGCTGACAATGGTTCAAATCTTTGCTGAGCCAGCCCAAAGGATTTTAGAATAATTCAGAGGGTGCTGCCCTTGCTCTAAAAATATCTGGTTAGACCTTTGCCTTGGCTTGAATGACCACATTACATGGTCCAAACATCTCATTTAGACAGGTTAAACAATGAGCACCATGAGTTTATCATTAGTTAGTTATAGCTTTCAATTAATGTCACCTTCAAAAAGAAATTAATTATCAATATGAAAGGGGTTTGCTTACAGTAGAAAAATCCCAGATCTTTAATGTTTTATCATCAGATGCAGAGACCAGGAGTCTTGAATCAGAAGACCAAGCAACATCTGAAATACCCTGAATAAATAACACATATTGCATCAGTCAGGGTGTTTTCCACATCTTTACAACTGCATTCAATCAAACATACCAGTTTGTGTCCAGAAATGGTTTTCTCAAACTTTCCATCGTATGCTCCCCAAATCTTGATAAGCTTGTCAGCAGCTGGAATGCCAATATAAGATATATTATTCGAATATTATTAAAAGTAATGTATAAATGGGGATAGTGGGGTAATATAATGTGATATTGAAAACCAACAATAGAAGTTTCTTTCATCCCAGGGTGATACACATTTACTTTGATTGAACTCCTTGTATAAACACATGAACACTAATTAGTTATAGGATTTGACAAAAGCTAATAATCATGAATTGGTATTATGCTTACAAGAGCTGGCAAGCCATTCTCCATTAGGACTGAACTTGACAGATGATATAGCTTTGTTATGTCCTGACAATGTGTATTTGAGTTGATAGTTGGGTTTCTGTATGATATACAAGGAACACAAATGTTATCTTAGTCAATTATGCTGTCAACTACATGCAAAGTTATGCTAGCAAACGTCAAAATTATAGCTCTCTAAAGTAATATAAAAGTGTGAGAATCATGTAAAATATTTCTAACCTTAACTGAAGCAGCTGATGCAGGGACAGTTGATGTAGTATTCATAGGTTGATGTGAAGTCAAAGCTTTACTTTTCTCATTAATGCTACTGTTTGAAGCCGATTGTGGCTCACTTTTCACCGTATTTCCAGGCGATGCCATGAAATTCAAACAGTTAACTTACAGTTGCTTCCTTCTTTAAATCTTTAGGAATGAAAAACAGTGAAAAAAGGAAGAAAATACAACGATAAACTGAAAGATATTGTTCGACACGTGAATAAACTAAGAAACAGCTATGAAGGGGAAGGATTGTGGGTAAACCACAGGTAACCCAAACAATTTTACCTTACTTCCGGTCATACACAGCCTTCAAAGTATTGTGGGTAAGACACTTTTATTTCCGGTCATACTCRGTCTCCTAAGGACGGAGAGAGATCAAAGGGGATTGGGTACCAGCATTAATAAAATGCTCTGATTTATTTTGTTATGGACGCCAATCACTTGTGATTTTTTTAATGTTTTGTCAACGTCGTTCTACTTTTTGCCCATGTACTGATTGTTAAGTTTTTGTTTTGTGTTGTGTAAGATCAATGGCTCGTGATCTTGGTTCCAGTTCGTCAGGTCAACGAGGGGCAGTGAGTCGACGTCGCGGTAAAAGACCCCATCCTCCCATCTATGGAGGCATTACTAACTCATTCAGCGACAGAAACAGTGACTTTCTTTGGTAAGATTACTATCTGTTACGTTATTCCTTCTCAATACATATTACTTGTTTCTTAATATTGCATATTTAATTATGATATCCTATCATTAGGTGTACAGACCAAATTATTTTGACATAGTATTTGCACCGAAAAGGTTTAAAGTTACATCTTCAWTTTTTACTTTCTTTCAGTCCAATATGCTTTGATACTATCGATGAGGCCTTTATGACCAAATGTGGACACACGTTTTGGTAAGATAATGTCATCTACACTCACTTATTTGTTGGCTTATATTCACGTATTCACGTATTCACCCTTACCTACCTCCCCCCCCCCCCCACTCCAAAGGAGTGAACAATGTTCATTTACATCTTAATAAATAGATAATAAATAACATGTATACTGATTTACTTGCTACCATTTTCATATCAAGGACAAAGATGCTCATGAAGAATTGTCAAAAAATATTTTCAAAGCAACGGACTAGAAATGGTTGCTATGGTCACAGTACTGTAATACTCTAAATTAGACTTTGGGACTCTAAATTACTTAAATAAAATCATTACTTTGCTACAACATGTCTATAAGTTTGCTACTCTTTTACTCTACAACTTTGTCCAGCTTGGGTGATCACAGGATAATCCTATTTATGTATGCTGCTTGAACTTGTCATGGTTAATCAAGTGAATTCCCTGTTGTATGGWTCTTTCATAATATAGATATTACATTTGATTATGAATAATCTTTTATTTTGATCCTTCCACAGTTATCAGTGTATAAGTAGAAGTTTAACTGAAAGCAACCGTTGCCCAAAATGCAACTTTATCATTGAGAAAGCTGATCAAATTTTCCCAAATTTTTTATGTAAGTATTTCATGTACATTGAAGTGCAGATATGTATATACCTACAGTACATRCTATATTACATATCATTGTAGATTTATTGGCTAATCTTAAGGTTTAAATTAATCATTTGTTTTTCTAGTAAATGAACTGATTCAAAAATACAAGGAAAAGAACTCCCAAATCAAGAAGATGAAAATTGAACTGCACAGTGGAACTGTGGTAAGAATGTTGTAGAAAGCTGTAGCACTGTTGAGAATCAACCTAGCATTATTATCATCAGAAAGCACAGAAAGCATGGAGTGTACACTGCTAATGTGTTGCCCCTCACTAATATGATCAGGGTTAGATTCCCAAGCTCTTCCGTCCTAAGATTAATGTTTTTTCTCTGGGTTCTATGGTTTTCCTCAGTTAACATAACTGACAAATGCAATGGTTTTCTCTTAGCATTCTGTAAATGAACTTCAGGAGATGCTGGGTGAAGAAAATGAATGGAACTTAGCAGGTATATGCCTACTTATTCAYTTGACATAACCTTTTATTTTGTTAATCAATATTCAATCAAAGTTATTGATGCATTTCTTATGTATTATTTCCATAAGATGTGAACTATCTGCTTGATATTTTGAACCAGAAAAAACACAGACTTGAGGCTGTAAGTATTCATTATTCATTAAGTAAAGGCTAAATGGATCACTATTGAACTTATATACTGRGAGGATTTTCTTTGCATAAGTTTAATTTATATGTATTTTACAGAATTTAACTAAACATTTTTCAAATTTTTAATTTAGTGTCTTGAAATTTTCCAGGATAGCAAAGCTGCACAAAATGAACTGCTACAAAATTTCTTGACACAAGTAAAACGACATAAACAGGAAGTGAGTGGATTTTTTTTTGATTATTGTGCTGTGGCCCCTGTCACTCAGACAAACATGTTCATATATGACTTATAATTTGATATATCTTAAGCATGGTTAAAGATATTTAAACATCACGGCTTTAATTAAATTGCATGATGGATTATTCCACAGCAACTTGATCAACTAACACAAGAAATCAAGTTAATTGATGAAGATATGCTTAAAGTTAAGGTATTACTGACAACATTACCTGTGCTACGAAACCGGATGATTATGTAATGTTTAATAAACGAGCAGGAGTGTTTTATCGGGTATAAAACACGAAGTGTAGCCAAGTGTTTTTRGACCCRATAAAACATGATCTGCGAGTTTATTGAACGGCTTAGAAAACTTAGTAATAATGTATGTTCTCAYAGTGTACCGAATTCTTTACRAARTGAACCAAGTTTGATAGAGAAAATCCAAGTTCAAGTTTATGCAAATGAAGACGAATCTATATGAGATATTAAATCTCCTTCACAGTCATGATTTCTATTGTTTTTCTYATGAATTATTCATGCGTTTTTTAAGCCGTTCAATAAACTCGCAGATCATGTTTTATCAGGTCTAAARACAYGAGGCTATGCTTATTAAACACTACATGGTTCACTTTTAAACCTTATAACAATCAAGGGATACATGATTTTTTTTCTGAAGGAAATGATTGAAAATCATGAGCGTCATTATCTACCGCTGACTGGCATGTTATTATCGACCACAGATAAACTCTTACCAGGAGAAGTGGTAAAGTTGTTTTAAAAAGTTATTTGTAAAAGACCATATAGAGTCGATTTTTAAAGACTGTTCCCATCTACAACCTCAACCCCATCTGCTACTTTARGGTTACAAAATATGGCAATAAGCAGCTCAATATAATTCTGTCCCTGCTAAATTATTTTCTTTTAATGATATGGGCTATACCACTTTGAGGCCAGGGTTAAACTGCATGAGTATTGTATAAATAATATTCTTATAATAATGCATTATGTAAAACACTGAAGAGATAACTAGCTAAAAACTAGTGTGAGCTGCGTCGGTGTTTCTAATGAAACAGTAATGATAAAAAGGTAAATTATACATCGTGAAAAGATGAAAAAACTTAATGATGTTTTGGACGCTTCTAAAGCTTCTGACGAAGGACTAGCGTCCAAAACTTCATTAAGTTTTTTCATCTTTTCACRGTGTATAGTTTACCTTTTTATCATTAATGTAAAACACTAATAAATAATAATCTCAAATGATTTTACTGCCACTTTGATGCCAGGGTTATACTGTATGAACACTAATAAATATTAATAATCTCAAATGATTTCAAAGGATCATGCAGTGCCTACAACACCAACAGCTAAGAATGCTCCAGTGTCTGTCAGTTCAGATGTGGAACACAAAGGAAGGTATGTGATTGGACCAAATCATTAGCTCATTCATAGTGTGGATGTAATAATGGCTTGAATTTTATAACTAACCATTGGATATCATATATATCTCTTGCTAGAGCAATTCAATCTCACATCTAAAGAAAGATAACATCTAGTATTTTCCATGTTGTTTTCTAGTTCTGTTGAGCTTAATTCATGTGATAAAGCTACAGAAGATGATCCACAAGATGGATTCAATGGAAGTCAGCACGTAAGTACTAGTCTATGATCTATACATGTACAGCACACACCACTGTCACCAATGGCAACATTCTTTGAWCCAATCAGAGAGCTTAAAATACAAAGTCACGCAACACTGTCACTGTAACTGAACATATCACATTAATAATTGCACTATGAGTTTTTCAAAGTCATATTCAATCTAATCTGTTGGTTGCCAGTGTTACAAAGTGTCTTGATTTATGATTGACAGGGAGCCAAACGGCTGTGGTGCAGCACAAGTTTAGCAGCAAGGAGGAAGAGAATACATCAACATTTTGATGATCTTGAAAAGTGCTACTTYGCTATGAGACAAGGAGACATTTCCAGTATGATCATTGACTTTWTTCAATGTATGATATATATTTAGCAAAAGATTGACAGACGTCTTCTCTTTTATAGCTGTCGACACATCKTCCGATGCTCTTGAACAATTCACAGAAAGTCTTGCTAAATTTACCAAGTTTTCCAGCTTTAGACCACTAGCSACGTTAAGTTATGCTAGTGATATCTATAATGGTTCAAGTATTGTGTCAAGGTAGGTATTTCATAGCCTACATTGGTTAAGGCTTTTAAAATGAAATTTGATTGATTTTATAACTTTTCTTTTTTCTTAGCATTGAATTTGACAGAGATTTTGACTACTTTGCTATTGCTGGTGTCACTAAAAAAATAAAGGTAAGTGTACAAATTATTTATTATCAAAAATATATTCATTTAAGAAATACATGTAATGTAGTAATACATATTAATTAATATTTTTCCTTTACAAATAAGGTCTTTGAGTATGGGACTGTTATTAGAGATGTTGTGGATATCCATTACCCAGTCAATGAGATGGTCTGCAATTCCAAAATCAGGTATTGATAATCATCCCATCATACCTTTTTATTTATAATTTGTAGAGTAAATCATGGCCAACTGGAAGATGGTTTTTAACAGTCTTTAACCAGTTCTTGTAATACAGTACAGTCTGATGAAAACATTTTTTCTTTCTGTTCTAGCTCAATAAGCTGGAGTTCTTATCATAAGGGYTTACTTGCAAGCAGTGACTACGAGGGAACTGTAACGTTATGGGATGCCTTTACTGGTACAAAGACCAGATCTTTCCAGGTAAGCCAGTGGAGTATACATTATTGTTAGGAAATTTGAAATCTGAGACAATGGGCCAGTGCAGRTCACTGCTCAAAGGTGGTGAAATAT